CAAGTTGGACATTCCCCATGATGGATAGAGCTCAAGTTCTTCATAGGAATCTGATGGAAGTGCCTCCTTCCCACCCCAGCTAGCTCCGTGCCATGGAGCTTCTGCCACTGTGGGGAGATTGCTTGGTAAGACTATCTGCAATCCCTGCAGCCCACAGCCACTTCCCCAGTGCCCAGAGGGAGAGCCCAGTGCCTTCATACCTGCATGGCAAAGGCCTTCCCACAGCCAGTGAAGTAGCAGTGGTATTTCAGCAGCTGCAGGTGCACTTTCTTGATGTGGCTCTCCAGGTTGAAGACCGTAGTAAAGCAAGCCCTGCAGTCTATCCTGGGACACAGCAGTCTTGGCTTTTGCTTGGCATGGGAGGGCTTATGTCTCCTCAGGCCATTGGGTTTCTTGAAGGTCTTCAGACACAGCTGGCACTTGTACTCCACTAGGACAGAGGAGCAGGGGTCTGAGCCTCCAAACCCCAACCCCCCCCCAGGTCTTCCATGAGCTCCATTCTAAATTTTGGAGACAGACAGGACAGACAGCAAAATCCCAGGGCTTCCCAAACCAAAGTTGGGCCCTCACTTGGGTGATGCATGGAACAGGACCTTTGCTTCCACCAATCAGATGGCAATGCAAGGGGTCTGGATGCTACCCATGCAGGACATGCTAAGAGGAATGGGAGTAGACTGGATTTAGGGCATCTCAAGATGTTCTAGGCCATGGCAATGTAGGCCTCTCCATCTTCCTTACCAGGATGCTCCTTCAGATGCTTCTGAAGCTCTGTCCAAGTGGGCAGGACAATCTGGCAATCCTCCCTGGGGCATGGGTATCCTGGAAGGAGAACCAATGGGCTAAGGGGGAAATTCTTAGGACAACACATACTGCAGTTGACACCACTCCCATGCACAACCTTAAATTGGGAACTTCCCATCAGGTGAAAGCTAGACTCTACTCAGACTCTAAAAAAGAAATCTAGAGCTGTTGAAGAACCATGAGCTTTAAACAGAGCAGCCTAGTGTCACCAAGGGAAAAGTGGTGACAGGTGAGAGGGAGCACCAGGGAACAGTCAGCCTGATGGACACCAGAGAACATGAGGGTGAGATTAGATAGCCAAATCTCATTTTGCCTTCCAGCCCTGTAAAGGAGAAGGCATTCATGCATCTCACCAGCATGTCTCTTCTGGTGAGCTTTCCTCTTGGCAGCACTGATGAACTTCATGCCACATCCTGGCTCTTGGCACCTGAACAAGGCAGAGAAGCATGGTGTAACTGCTCCTTTCTTCAGGGATGGGCAAGAGTTCCTAGGGATGCCACTTTACCCTGGAAAGCAGAGATATCCCAGGGTTCTCCAGAGAGACTAAGGCAGCAAGATGTCTCACTTGGAATAGGCTAGTGTGCCAGTCCCCCCCCCCCCCCCCCCCCCAAAAAAAAAAAAAAAGAGAGAGAGAGAGAGGTCAAGCTGATGAGAGCACAAGCCTATCCAGCTCTGCGATCTGGCCCAGAGCTAGCAGTTGCCAAGCATCAATGGCATGTCAAGACAAACATGAAGTCACCCCAAGGAGAACTTGGTCCCCTAGTCAGCCCCTTCCCTTTGCCAGGAGACACTTACACAAATGGCAGCACTTTAGTATGCTCAGTCCAATGCATCTTGAGAGCCTTCTTTTTCCTGAAGACCCTCTCACAACCCTGGTGGCTACACTGGAGGGAAGAAGGTCAAGATGGTTGACCTGATGCATTGAGAACAGGCTTGCCCATGCCCCTTTCACACCAGCTAGCACTAGGCATAACAGTCTCCATGGTACCATGCAGCACCAGCAGGCTTGTTGCAGCCCCAGGCAGGTACCCACAAGGGCACAACCAAGGAGTTTGGGGAGATCACCACTCAAGAAGGGACCAGCAGAGCTCATTTACATGTCATTGGAAGCTGTGGTTTAAGAGGTTTGGTCATGCTGGCAGTAGCCCCTCCAGCCTGGTGGACACACATGGCATAAGACAGATGGCACAGGCAAGAAGTAGGATCAGCCCAGCTAATGAACAACTATCAAAAGCAGCTACGAGTTCCTCTCCAGGAGTTCCCATTAACAGGAGCGGTGTACCATGCTGGGGCTTTCTGCTTGGCCCTGCCTCTGGAGAGAAGCCTTCCTCACTATCCCCAGCACAGCACTGGCTCTTACCAGAGAGCCAGATGCTCAAGTTCTGGCTCCCTCCTGTGGCCAGAAGAGCAGCTTCCTCCTTTCAAGCACTGGGAAGGAAAATACCAGTCCTTTCCAGATGGAAGAGCCAGGTGAGAAGGTCCTGAGGGTCTCACTTAGCCATACCACTTACTGCTGCCAAGCTCTCCCTAGTTTGGATTCAGTAGAGTGGCAGCCTCCCCAGCCATGAGGCCTCCAGGTACGACAGGCCCCATGGTATTTAGGCCTGAGGGCATTTGGTCACAGGTGGGCTCATCTCAAACCTAGTGCTCTATCCAGCCTGCATTACCTGGAATGAATTCCTGTTGCCATGCTGTGACTCGCAGGGCTTTTGTAGCTGGTTATTAGTCACCAAGGCAGATTCACAACCCACATCCAAACACCTGTGGAAGAGAAAGCCCTGCAGATCAGCAGGTCCCAGCTTAGGAACTGCCCTCCCATTTGGAAGCAAGACAGGCTCAGCATAACTTTCTTGCAGCCTGGGCTGGGGTGTATCAAGGTACCCACTTCTGGTCCAGCTTAGGACCTTTCTGTGCATCAGTTACCATGCCTGACAGATGGTGGCAAGTCATCATTCCGATCAGGGTGAGGACTGCCTCACTGGGAAAACAAGTCAGAGCTCCTGGTCTTAGCTAGGACTTCAGCAGCCCCTCCTCCCACAAAGGAGAAAGATGGGAGAGAAACTCAGTACAGCTGCAAGGGTCCTGCTGGATACTACACCTCCCCCCGCAGATCCATTAGACCCTACAAGAACCCAGGAGCTAGAGTCACAGTGGGGTAGATACAGAAAAGCCACCTCCCTGCCCCACCTACCAGACATCACTATGCTGCAGCTTGTGCTTTTGCAGAACATCTCCATGCTGGAATCGCTCTCTACAGCCAGCTTGGTCACACACCAGCTCCTGAAGGGGGAAGTGTCAGCAAGGAGCTCCAGCACCACCTTCTTCACAGAGTCCCTTGACCCTACTTCCCCCCACCATATAAATAGGCACTATATCAGCCAAGTTAACTGGAGGCAGAGGCAGAGACAGGTCCCAGGTCCAAGGCACATTGCAGTGGAGGGCTAGTATTGGGCTTCCAGTATTACTCAGCACACTTCAGGTCACAGATTTGCAACTTAAGCAACACAGCCCACATTAAAATTGATCTGCATCATCCCTGGGGAGACCATTCGAGTCCAGTAAATGAGACAGGCAGCTCTGCTCCATGACATTTATGCTCTGGGACTCATAAGTCCTCCTCTCAAGGCACACAGCCTATCCATCCCCACCAAGGCCTTTTCTCCCTCATGTAGCTCAGCCCCAGGTACACTCAAGCAACAGGGTTCTCAGGTGAGCAATCAGAAACAATGAGCAGAAAATTCATGGCTCTCATACTTTCTTGGAAGGCAAGACTCTCCTCAGAGCCACCCCCAACTCTTACCTCCTCTTGGGGTACAGCCAGAGCTGGCCCCCACTCCTTGCAGGGACAAGATAAAGCAGCAGCAGCATTCCCAGAAGAAGGACTGCTCTCCCCAGGCTCTGCCATACAGCAGAGTACAGCACTGTGCAATACACCCAAGACCAAACTCAACTCCCAAATATCTGCATACAACACACCCCTATCCCTTCGCTTTTGCCCAGTGTGCTCCATTTATAGCAGAGATGGATGCAGCTGCTGTCTATCAGCTCAGTGATAGGCAGTGCCCTGGTCTTGGCTCAGGATTTTGCTATTAGCTTCATTATTGGGAAAAGAGATTGGGGAGTTTGCGGAGAAGGGATTGGCTTTATCCTGGTATTTCCCTGGATAGGTGTGGGAAGGGTGGATTTAATCTGATGGGGGTCAGGCAGCTGAGCTCTGATCTCTCTCTGGTGTGTGGAGCCAAGTCAGTGATTTGTCCCTCTACCTCAGTGCAATCTACCTTGTTAAGGCCCCTGGCAGCCTGGTATCCAAGGCCCTGTTCATGGTGTCTGATGCCCTCTGAGGTCCTGGACTGAAACTCCTGGGGGTACAATAGCCCCAAGCACTGTACCCCCCTCTCCCCCTCCTGCTGATCTTCAGGGTCAGGGAGAGCTGCAGTCCATCATTATCTGTGCTGCTGCAAAACCATTGCAGGAATGGTCCCTGGGTGCAGTGTTGGCTCTCTGCTGTAGCAGAGGGGCTGTGACAGCTGCTTTAAAGGAGCTGAAGCACATTCAGCCAGGGCAGAGTTTTTCCAAAACACCATGTGACCCCAGTGGAAGGCAAATATTTCTCTGCTCCCTCATCATGGAGGCTCAGGCCCTCGTGTCCACCTGGAGCATACCGTGAGATCAGGGCCTTCCTCTCTAATCAGGCCAGTGATTTTTCCTTTCAGAGGGTCCTCTAAAGCAGAAAGAACCAAGTTCTCCAAAGTGATTGCTGGGAGACAGGCCCTAGTCAGTGTAGCATTAGATCTGAGCTCAGCTCAGGATCCATACCGACTGAACTGAGCCCTCCAGATCCAAGGTGGGGCTGGGTCTGGATTCTGAGCCATGGAAGTTCTGCAGCAGGGGCCCATCACTGGGGTGAAGACAGCATGGACTGGTGGGTGAGGGCACAAGGCAGGGACTGTGGACACCTGGTTTCTGTTCCTCAATTTGCCCCTGACCTGTGGCATGGCTTGGAGCAAGCCCCCGGGCCTTGCTGTCTGCCCTCCTGACTGCTGGCACTCCTAGCAGCAGCCCCTAACACAGCTTGGGTGGGTCTCTAGGTGCTACTATAATAACCATGATAAAGACTGAGGCTGGAAAATCTTTGCTATGGAGACAAGTGCTCTCTGGGGAGTCTCCCCTGTCCCTTTGTGATGTCATGGCGGGGGTGGGTCCCTTTGTGACACTTTTGCTCCTGTGGCTGAGGAGGAGAGGAGCAGCTGCCAACAAGAGCTTAGTGGTGAGTGGAGGAGGGAGGCAGTGGTTTGGATCAGCGGTTGCTGTGAGTTAAGAGGCTAGCGCCTGAACATACAAGCTCTGGGGCAAAGCAACTAGCAAGTTGTTTTCCCCTTTGTGTGCAATTGGGTGGGTGGGTCTTGGCTCAGTTTCCAGCTGTCAGGTAACTGCATCTCAGAAGCAACCCCCATGCCAAGGATTGTGTGAGTCCTGGATGCTGAGGCTGAGAGGCCTGTGAGTGGGGGCTGCAGAGTTTGTCCATCAGCTCCACCATCCTTCGATGCAGCAGGGTGAATACAGCCTATCTTCCTTGGGGAAGAGGGATGAGGTTGTTTGTTCCAGCCCATGTTAAATCTCTTTGACTTTAACTCTACAGAGCTATATGACCTTTATGTGCTCCTGGAGCACAGCGAGGAATGAGCAGCACCAAACCTCACCACAGCTAGTGCCTGGTGGAGGAAGGCAGCTACGTTGGACATGGATCTGGTAAGGAGCTTGTGTGGAGGCATCAAAGCAGTTCAGCCCATGACACTGCTGAGGCAGAGAGCAAGAGCAGCAGCGGTTTTCTGCCCAAGTCAAACCCTGCTTCCTCCATGCCATGTCCTTCTCTGACACATGGGGAAACTAGGGAAGAAACCTGCCCAGACTGGGTCAGTGCTGGGGGCAGGGACAGAACCTTCATTGCAGCTTCTGCTTTCTGACCTCACTTCTCAGCATCTCTGATGTCAGAGGGCAAAGTTTGCAGCCTGATGGCATCAGTTTAGAAGCACCATGTCCAGGTATCAAAGACACCTCCCTGGCTGCAGCTGCTGCTTCTGAACAAACTCTTTCAGCTCCCTTTAGCAGCCACTCACCCCCTGATCCCTTCTCTATCTGTTCTGTCCTAGTGCACAGAAATCCAGGGCTGAGTGATCTATTCCAGATGAGGCCACCCAACTAGCCCATCTCATGGCCTCATCTTGTTCTCTGGGCTGATTATTCACCCCAGGACACACATGGGCCACAGGGCAACCAGTGTTAACCTAAGCGCCACAATGACACAGAAACCCCTCGTTAAACTGGAAGAAGCAAGGACCAGTGGAAAAGCAAATATTAGTTAGTGCTGGTGCCACGACTAATAGAGAGCATGTGCTGCATTATTCATGAGTGCAGAAAAGGCAGACCCATGGCAGACAGCAAACCAAAAATACCCAGTACTGTTTTGTGCCTGTCTACTTAGCTCATCATCTATCCACAGGTGATAAGATGAAAAGCCACAAGTGGCTCTGGAGCCACAGTCTGGGCACTGCTGTCCTGGCCCGTTCCTCATGTCCTTCAGTGCTTTGCTTGCATTCCCCACCCCTGCTGTGCCCATAGCAGATGTTTCCTTCTAGTGACGAGTGACATCTGAGTCACTTTCACAAATGGTTCCAGCTAATTTAGGACTGGGCAATGAGCATGAATAGTCCAAATGACTGCTTCTAATGCTCAGGGTCATGCAGAGAGCTGAGAACTGAAGCAAGATCTCCCAAGCGCCCAGGCAAATGCGCACACACTTTCTGAAACAGTGGAATTTATTCTCCTTGCCATTTTCCCAGTGAGGTGTTTTCCTTGCATTCATCAAACCTGAATTTCATCCAATAACACGCTGCCTATTTGCTGAGCCTGCATGGGTCCTAGAACTCCTAGCTTCAAGCTCCCCTCCTCTCCGCCCACCCCCGGTGCTACACCCTAGAAACTGAGATCTTCCTGCCTCCCTAGGTCTCCCGATCTATAGACCTGCCTTGGTTTCTTCTCCCCTCTCAGACTGTGGAAGATATTGAAGACATGCAGCTGGATTCACAAGGGGAAGTGCAAGCAGACAGGTCAAAACTGATTGGCAGCCATGACAAGGGCATGAGCATCATAGTGCTCACCTTAAATGGAGTCGAGGTGGAGCCCATCACCCCAGCAGCTCCAGGAGAACACCCACTGAATAGGGGCGCAGACCAGATCATGGAAGTGATCTGTGGCTTCTTGGGAGCTGCCCCAGAGCACACAGCACAGATGTCAGAGGGGCTGATCCAAGTCATGAATGAAGACAGCTGCTGGGGTTCAGAAGGGACAGGCCATGAACCTAAGGCAAGAGGACCAGAGTCATCATCTGTGACCACACCCAATAAATCACTGCTGTGTATGAAGGAAGAATTGCTGGCCAGCCTGGAGGAGCCCAGGGAGCTGGGGAAGCAGAGAGGCTACAAAAACATCAAGTCTACAATGGGGGAAAAGACCCATTCCAGGGTTGGTGATGATACTGAGGGCAGCTGTGAGGGAGACCAGCAGGAGGTGACTGAACAACAGGGTAGAGGATTATCACCTGGTACAGACACTTTGCTTGAGCACCAGGACAGAAATCTGCCCAGTGAACTGAGAGAGGAGAACTCCCTCTTGCTGCAGGATGGCAAGAAGGAGCAAGAGAGCTTGGAAGTCAGCCTGGAGGAGCTGCTGGTCCCCATCCTTAAGAAGTCGGACCTGTGCCAGGGGGCTGAGTCCCAGCACTGTTTGCCAGGAGTGGTCACCATCACCTGTCTGGCTGAGTCTCCCAGCTTAGATGCCTCTGACAGGTTGGAGTGCCAGCTCCCTCCCAGCTCTGTGTTCGAAGCCTGGGCAAAGTTAGGCCCTGGCTCCTGGCTGGGCCCTCCCCTGGTCTTTCCACACAGGGAGGATGGCAGGATTCACTGCATCAGGATATTCCCTAAGGGCTTTGGGCCAGAACTGGAAGAGGGGATCAGGCAGAAGCTCGGTAGCTGTACAGGCTGGGTGGCCAGTGCTGGGACTTTATTGTGCAAGGCCAAGAAGCTGTTTTCTAGTTATCAGCTCCACTCAACTGAGGGTGCCCAGGCATCAGGAGCACAAGAGGTGAGGAGCCAGGAAAGGAGCTGTCTTTCTCATAGGGTCAGCACTATAGATGTTGGGTGACTTACAGAGCCCTAAAGAGACAATAGGGGAGGGTTCATTTCTTGGCCCTGTCAAAGATTCCTTGTGAGCCTTGGTCAAGTCACCTAGACTCTCCATGGCTCAGTTCCCCACCTGTAAAATGAGGGTAATAATCCTCCCTTTCTTCCACCCTTGTCTGTTTAGATGATGGGCTCTTGAGGTAAGGATTCTTACTCTATTTATGTCTAGTGCCTGGTGCAAAAGTGTCCCCAGTGTGTGTGTGTGCAGGTGGAGGTGTCCTTTGTACATCAAGTTCCCTGCCTATAGAATGGGGATGATCATTCTTTCTCTGTCTCATCTCTTTATGCTGCAAGTTTTTTGGGACAGAGCCTGGCTCTGTGTCTGTGCAGTCCCTGATGCAATGGGACAACCCCCCCCAGTCATTTAGGCCCTCCAGGCACAGACATATGAACAATAACAACAACAAAAGAGGCTGTGATAGGAACAGTATTTGTGAAGCATCATCCATCTGCTATGCTCCGAGTGTTCTGCAAATGCTGACAGGCTTTAGCTGGCTCTGGGGTCTGAATGAGGGACAGGGGAGGAGAGATGAGGCACAGGGGCAGCTGCACCTTATGCAGCAAGTCAGTGGTAAGACCAAGAACACAACCCAAGGGTCCCCACTGCAAATCAAGTCGTATCCAAAGAGGGTTGAGTGAATTCAGAAACAGGTGTGGAGGAAGCATCCACAGGGGAACAGCTGGTCTGGAGGGGCTATGCTGTCCATTTCCCTGTCTAGAAAAGCCTAAAGGAACATCAGTGTCATAGTTTTAAGTCTATAAAAGGCATATTCTGATCACCTTGTGTCACAGAGACCAGTACATTTGACCCAGCGGTTCCTGCCTCAAGCCCAGATTTCTAGAAAGGAGCATAGTCTTGTAAGGATCCCAAACAACAGAGAATCAGCTGCAGCCCTGGATCCCTGGCTCCAGGTTAATTACCCAACCTGTTACAAATTGCCTGCTCCAACCCAGGTTTGTCTACGCAGCTCCCAGACACTGGCTCATGTGCTAAAGATGTGTGTCTGGCACCTCCCCTGGCAGTTGCAGGCAGGCTGTGATTGAGTCACCTCGTGAATAAACTAAATAGCTTGAGCTCCTTATGATTCAGGTGCAAGTCAGCTTCTGACCTATCGCTTTCTCTGGGAATTCTAGGCTGCTCTCATTGCTGCCCTTCAGAAGACAACACTGCCTGGTACCAAGCCCTCTGGGCACCTGGAGTGCCCACCTGCTACCCAGGCCGTGCCTGCTCAGCCAAAGCCTGGGGATCTCTCCCCTTCCTGCCTCCAGCAGGTTATCCAGAGACTGAAACTACTGATGTTGGTGAAGAAAAAACCCTCCAGTTCCTAGCAGATACTCTCCTATCTATAAATGGTTGCCATCCCTATTAAAAGGAATTGTCAAGTATGCTGTGGGTTTGGGAGTCTCGGCTGTGCTAGACAGCCTTTGCAATACACGAGAAATGTTTTCCCAGATCTTTGCATAATTAGCTTCTGCAGTTCAGGTGCCGGAAAGCTCAAGGCAATGGGCTCAATGTGCTCCATCTTGGCGTCTCTAGGTGCTCACAACATGATTCGCTGTCATAGGAAAGCTTAAGAAAAAAAATCACTTTGTTGTGTGATCTGCATGGGTATTTTACTGTTTTCCTCAGCTCCTGTGCATCAACAATTGTCCTTGTAAAGAACTGCAAGGGCTTTTGGGGCTTTCCTTGGCAGCACAGGGTTGCCTTTAATTCAGAGATGTAAACATCACTTGGTCTCCCAGGCCAGGACCATGGGCCTCCTTATAGGCCAAATCCAGATCCACCTCTGGCAGCAGGGTGAGCAGCATAAAGGAGCTGCAGGGCTGGGGAACACAGACATTACTCATCCCACCACTACCAAAGCACAGCCCCAATGGGGATCCATACCCCAAAATATAGCAGTAAGCCCCATCTCTGGTTATCCCACCCCAAATTCCCAACACCTCCAGGAGCCCTGTGGACCCAATGACAGCTCCACAGGCCAGATCCAGCCACTGACTGTATCTTTGAGAACTTTCCTTTGATCAGGCAGGAGCTTCTCAACTCTGGCAAGTGCTGAAGTGTTTGGCAGCCTGATGGGGGGTGCTCAGTACCTACAGAGCAGGAGTGATTGAGACCCAGGCACCCTCCAACAATGTCAGAGCTTCAGAGGCTGCAGCAAGATAACTCCTTAACCCATCATATGTTGCTCAGTACCTGATATAATCCTAGAATTTCCAGCATGCCCAGGAGAACAGCAGATATGTGACATAGATGCTTAGTGTCCTGAACAAGCAGCTGCTTTTAAGTACATCATCTTGGCATTCCTCTTCCTTTTACCTTACAAGTCAGCTTTATGTACCATTTCCTTGAAGCCATATCAGCAGGGAGCTGGCAACAGCCTGATCTATCCCACCACAGCTGTCCAGGTCCACTGCTGTTTAATCTGTTTAAAACCAAGGCCCTCTGGCTCTCAGGAGGGAGAAGCCCCTGCCCATGACTTTGCAGGAACAAGGGTTTAAGTTTATAGTCAGTTGTTCACAGACCCAGGAAGCCTGTCACTGCCTGCTTGGGTTGCTAAGTAACAGTCAGTCTGGCCGCTATTAAATCTAGACCATTCAGCACGTACAAAATTCAGCCTCACTGCTCTGCTTCCCAGATTACATGCCATTAACAGCACTGCCCCCAAACCAGCTACATTTCCCCTTTCAAGGGTCCCTGGAGCACCTTACCAGACTGCAATTCAGAAAGAGACTGAGAGGAGCATTATCAGATTTTAGTATGTGCCCTGCACTCTGCTTTTGGTAGGGGCAGGCAGCTCCTCTGCTTTGAAATCCTAAAGGAAATCTATGCGCTTTGCCAAGGAGTGAAGTCAACTTGAACAGTTGCTAGTTGCACAGGCTATCATTAAAAAACTTGACTTGTTTTACATTCTCATGCACAAATTAAGTCAAGTGGTTCAGGGAAAGCCTCTTTCTTCTCAAGGTAGCAGAATCCTTGTAAGGGGGCCACCATCTTCTGCTCTACATAGATAGCTATGATTCCATGATGGGCAAATTCTCACATGGCACTTATGTTTATCCCACATTCCCTCCTCCATCTTGGAAGATAGTCCCTGCTATTCTCTGAGGGCACTGGGGTAAAAGGGTAGGGTGCCTTGTATGGTACTCAGGATCCCATGAGTAAAGTGGACAGTCAATCTTCTGCCTAAACTATCATTCCCCTGCAAACATGCCTTTAATTAATGCAAAATACTGACTGCTCTCAATAGGTGTGAAACTACACTACACTACAGGGTGAAGTTACACAAAACTGAGACTTCAAAAGCAGCACCGTCTGACTACAGAACGCGACTGAGCTCAGGCCCCAGCTAAAAATCTCTTCCTGCATTTTAAAGCCATTTAGCCAAAACTAAACCCCACTCATCACTGTATCCTGTCCACTGCTTGCTTTCATGAACAAGACAGAACCCAGATAACATCCTTTGCACTTGCCCTTTGATCCTTAAATTCTAGCCATGGTAGACAAGATCTCTAAAACCAACAGAGGAGTTGTCAACAGGGCTGTACTGACTATACTGCAGACAGTTGTCCTCTATTTATGCATATAACAAGCTTCTGATGCTTAAGTGTCTGCTAGGGCTCAGTTAAGGACAAAGGTTGTCTCTGACCTCTGAAAAAGCTGAAGCACCTCTGAAAAGGCTGTCATGTGTGATGGGCTTCTCCATAGAAGATCTAACCACGTATGGATACATTCTCAACCATAAGATGGGGAGGGGAACACTGAATTGGAAAGGTTTTATCCAATATGCAGCTGGAAACATAGGCAAAGGTTCATAAACATGCACCCAGACACAAGCGTGCCAGGAGCATACTCCCATCTACTACTCTATATGTACTGTAAAAAAAGAAAGCAATGTAAAGATCTGCTTAAGTGTCCTGCGTAAAAGGTTTAGGTTGATGGAACAGGTATCCAGTACCCAGAGGACAAGCTAGTCTAAAAAACTGCTGCCCTAACACAACAAACTTCACATCACCATTTTCCCCAAGAGGATCTTTCTTCACAAGATCTCACATCAATCTTCACTTGTGGACATGCCCTTGGCTCCAACTTCTTCTGACCCTAGCTACTTCCCTGCCAACATGAGACACCTCCATGGAGGGATCAGTTGCCAATAGGTGTCTTGCCACAGGAAGTCAGCAGCAAGAACTTCTCCTTTGTAAACCTCTGTCCTAAGCTCCAGGGCCTTCCTCCAGCCAATGAGATTCTCACTGCCTGCCCCTAGATGTTAGAGATGTTCTGTATTTACAGCAAGCAAGCCACGGTTAGGTATGCTGCTCCCAGTTTTAGTGCAAGCCACAAGTCATTAGACCCCAGAGCTTGTGTAAAAGAACAGGGGTGGCCAACTTGCAGCTCAAGTGCCACATGTGGCATGGGCGGCCTGTGTGTGGCACCCAGCAGATTGGGGTGGGGATAGGCAGCGATGGCTAGATAGGGCAAGAAGCAGAAAGCAGAGTAGCAATCAGGTAAGAGGAAGAAATTGGAGTAGCACGGAGGGAGGATGCTTACTAAAAAGGTATCCTCCACTACAATATCTACACTGAAGGACATTTTTACTTTGGAAAAGGTCACTTCTACAAAAATGTCATCCCTTCTAAATCACCACTCAGGTCAACCAATAAAGGGAAAAAAAAATCAGATACAAGCAAAACACACTGTATGTGGAAGGTTTATTGAATAACCTTTGATGGAAAGCACTATGTACACACAACAGCCAAGGTTTACTTCTTTGTTTCCTCCTCCTTGGAGAGGGTCTTGATGATTTCTTCCTTCTTGGCTTGCAGACGTTCTTCACGACGCTTACGGGCTTCCTTGGTCTTGGACCTACGAGCTTCAGCCTGGTCACTAGGGAAAAGATTAAGTTTCATCAGCATACAGAGGTCAGCACAAAGGCCAGCTGGCTCTTTACTCAACTCCCTGAAATTCCTTACTTGGCTAGACTCACAAGGGCATATTCTAGTTAATCTTATCAGGTCAACGACTAAAAATTAGTTATTCCAGAACCTGGAACCTAGTCATCCTTTAACTGAATTAATATTCCTCTCTCCCAGGGGAGAATTTTATCCAATATGCAGCTAAAAACAGGATAAGCTAGAAATTTTGGATAGCCAGGGCCTGGGACAATTCTTCAGGGGATGTGCAATTTCCATAGCAGAATAGACATTACCTACTATATTACACAGCCATGAAGGGCAAAGCTTGTTTAAAGTGTCATCTAGTTCTACTATTGATGTCTTTAACCCAGACTACTTTATAATACCCATAACAAAAACCAAAACTACACAAGTGGTAAAAAAAAATAAAAAGTCCACTTTGTCTTAATGGTCTACACTTGGAAGTTTTGCTGGTTCAGCTATATTGGGAAAACTTCCTAACTTGAATGCAGTCATAAATGCATGTAGTGGCATAAGCTACCAGGATAGCTTGTGCTGCTTTCTATTCACATTAACATTTATAACCATGCTTGTGCAGCTGCAATTGCATTTCTACTGGACATCACTATAACCAGCATGACTATTCTAGTTTAGACCCGGCTCTGCTAGTGAAGAGACACTGATGAATTTCATGCCTCTGGTCTCTCTCTAGACTTTCATTCAGATTCTTTCCCACTGCAGCCTGCTGCAATCTTAACACAAGTACAGAATGGAATTACTACAACTGGTACTGAGCTCTATCACAGCCCCCTACATGTCTTCAGCCTACACACAAGATGTAGTAATAGTGAGGGGACTTACGCCAGGAGCTTCTTGCGGGCCTTGTCTGCCTTAAGTTTGTGGATGTGCTCCATCAGGATCCGCTTGTTCTTGAACACATTACCCTTGACCTTCAGGTACAAACTGTGATACCTACAGGGGACAGGACAGGGGAGGTATGAGCAAGCCTGCTGCACTCAGGTAGTACCTGGTATAAGACAGAAATACAAGCTACTGCAGAGTTTCCACAATGGCCTGCATTACTCAAGATACGCTGCAATTCTTTGTCTGTTTGCAGCTGACATGATGGCTTCAGTTGTCTTCGTATCCACAGGCTGAAAGGTGTTGCACTACAGATGGATTCATTACGAAAATAAAAAGGTACCCTCTCACACGGTCCCCTTTCCTAACAACAGCAAATAGGGTGGGCCTCATGAATCAATAGACCCAGGATCATTCTGCAGTTTACCAGCTTTTTTAACCTACAAAAAGGTATTTGCCATCTTCTACCTAAAGAACCCATTTAATCTCTCTCAACTTTGCTCTCTGGCATTTGTGGGTTCACATGTAAAATGAGACTGATGCTAAAATTTTGCACAATAAAGGCTGCAGATGCGGGGGGGGGGAATTTATGGCTCCCATGTGTGCACACTAACAAGGTAGTGCAATTGTGTTCACTAGGCTTTAAGGCTTACATATGGCGATCGATCTTCTTGGATTCCCTGTATCTACGAAGCAGACGCCTCAGAATTCTCATTCTCCTCATCCAGGTCACCTTCTCTGGCATACGAGCATTGGCTGTACCCTTCCTCTTACCTGGGGGCAGGAAAGAAAGATGCTACAGAGCTAGAACACAGTTAAGTACAACTGAATGTCCTTGCCAATGTGCTTAACAACTCTGCTTCCTCAGGACTCTGCTTTGTTAAAAAGATCCTTTTCTCCCATGCCCTGAGTACACAGGTTTGTCTGTAAATCCCATCCATATGAAATTCAGAGGACTGCTAGACATTTAATTCTCCATCCTGCTTTTTTGGGTGGGAAAAAAAGGAAGCCAGTACTTACCAATGCCCATGTGCCTGCCCTTTCGGCGGGCCAGGGTATTCTTCCTGCATCTGGCACGTGAGTGAACAGTTACAGGTTTGCGGATGATCAGACCATCTTTGATCAGTTTCCTGATCTGCTGACCTGAAAAAAAATAAAAGAAAATATCTGCATTCAAAGCCTCAAAAGAAAGGAGACTGATAGGAAACAGTACAAGTTAAGGGAGAATCCAACATCAAGGTCTTTTCTAAAGGATCTGCCCAGCTAAAGTCCAAGCAAATGGAAGGAGAGAACCTTCCAACAGACTATACAGACCAATTAAAAAGCTGCCTCCCTACTGCCCTCCTGTTTGCAGGATTTTGGTACACTTCACATATCCAAACTTGAAAGCTGGGGTTGGCCCATAATTTGAAGTAATCTAGGTTAAATTCAGTGCAGCAAAGGGCGTTTCTCTCCTTGAGCCCCTGTTCCAAATCTGATTTTGACCTTATTTACAGAGAACCCTTTCCTCAACTGGACATACAGGCACTCCCACAGTTCACCAAAGGAAACAGTCTCCTAGATATAGCAAAGTGGATTTCAATGAAATTGTGACCGTTTACAGGATGTTCTACATGTTTATCTTCTGCCTTCCTTCTACTTACTGGAACTGATAGGCCAATTGAGCAGTGAGCTTGCTCTAAGCAAGGATGTACTGCTGTTCCCTACTGTTTTTAAATTAACTGTTACATCACATGCATTTCTGGTTTTGGAGCATGGGCCTCTACCCAGAATATCTTGAACATATACCGACAACATTTCATAGAAGCAGGAATCGGCTGCCCTGGTTCCCCTAATTTACCTGTGGCAGGTTAGGGTATGAGGTCTGTGTTGCATCAGAGCTGACAGTAGTCTTATGCAGAGTTTAGATTATGGTTCAGATACGATGGTTTGGATAGAGATGATCCTGCAATATCAGGGGGCTGGACTAGATGACCTCTGGAGTTCCCTTCCAGCCCTGCCTCTCCATGATTCTATGAACCCTGCATCTCCTGCTCATCAACAAGTGTCAGCAGCCTCCCTGCTGGCCATCTGTCTCGGGAGAGCAAAGCTAGGCCTTCACTGACAATTTAAAAGAACCTCAAAAAATTTAGCTTTTTACCATTTGCACTTCACATGGGAAGGCAACTGCTACAGGCTCCCCCCACACCCCCCGCCCGCGGCGCGCCCCCCCCCCCCCCGAGTCAGAGAAGCCTTTCAATAAAGCCTAATCTAAAATAACTTGTGAAGAAATTGAGCAACTGGACTTAACCACCTCTTAAAAAACTAAACCCTGGAGACAAAAGCCCTTGTCATATCCTGTTCACTCTCTCTTTCAGCATCCCCTCTCTGCCACCGTGCGACATAGCCTGTTTAATGAGCTGCTCCAGAATGTGGGCCAAAGCCCACCAGGGAGCGCTATAAGCTGCTCCCCTGCCAGACGAAGGGGGCCACTAAGGGCAAACTACTGATCACTTAGGACAAAAAAAAAAGACAAAATAGGGACAGGAGTGAGCGTCATGGGTTCAAAACAAGTGCACCAAGCTGGGGACACTCAGCTGGGACACTGCACAGAGCACGCCAGCCAGGGTCCGCACTGGCCCTCAAACGAGTCCAAGGAGCTAGCAGACACTGTCCTGCAAAAATTCTGTCCAGAGACATAAATAGACAGAAAGATGGTCCCATCATCCTCAGGGGTCAGAGAATCACAAGTTAGGGTGGGAGTCAACTGGTCCAACCCCCTGCTCCAAGCAGGACCATCCCCAACTGGATCATCCCAGCCAAGACTTTGTCTACCCAGGTCTTAAAAACCTCCAAGGATGGAGAGTCCACAACCTCTGGGTAACCTATTCCAGTGCTTTACTCCACTCCTAGCATCCAACCTCAACTTCCCTTGCTGCAACTTGAGACCACCGCCCCTTGTTCTGTCACCTGCCACCACTGAGAACAGTGCTTCTCTTTCGAACCCCCCTTCAGGCAGCTGACGGCTGCTATTAAATCCCATCTCAGTCTCCCCTTCTCTAGACTCAATATGCCCAGTTCCCTCAGCCTCTCCTTGTCAGTCACGTGCCACAGCCCCCAAACCATTTCCACTGCCCTCCTGGCCAGAGCCTCCTTCCAGGTCACAGCTGAAGACCTAGTTATTAACCTACGACCTCACTCCTGTCCCTGTTTTTGCTGTCCCACGTATTCAGTTGCTGTGTCCCCAGAGGAATCCCTTATTCAGGGAGGCTTACGGTTCCTGTGATGGGCCTAGTCCCACAACCATGTACCGCACACCAAATAGGCCTTCCAGGCCAGACAAGTCTCCAGCTTGGCAAGGGCCAGGAGGCAGTCGACCAGCAGGTCCTGGTGGCGTGGATGAGAGGACTGAGCCTGCCGGGGGCAGCTCTATGTCGGGCCCCAGAGCTGTGGGGCGGACGAGCAGGGTGGAGGGCCAGGCACTCACGCGAGTTGGCGTTGGCGATCTCATTGGTCTCGTTGGGGTCGAGCCAGACCTTCTTCTTGCCTCAGCGCCGGACGCTAGAGGCCAGCCCGCACGCGGGGGGGTCCCAGGGCGGCCACGTGGCGCCGCAACCGGGAGTGGGGGAGTAAGAGGACTAGACCAACGGCCCCCCCGCGATGGGGGGAATCCTAGCACCCCGCGCCCCGATCCCAGTGGGCCGCTCCCGCCCGTTCCATTCCACACCCCCCGCTCGCCCACCCCGCGCTCCGATGGGGGTGGGGGGGGTGGTTTCTCGCGCCGGGCCCAGGCAGAGCGCACACCCTCACCTCATGGCGGCGGCAGCCCCAAAGCGGAAAGGAAGAGACTGCAGCTCCGGCCACTCCCACTCCCACTGCACGGAGGGGGGGGGAGCGTGGGATGTACCATTGTGCCCCAGTTTTCCCTACCCTTCGGGCCCGCGTTGGCCGCCTCCCTCTGCAACCGGGTCTTTGAAAACAAAAAAGGACGAAAGCCAGTTCTGAGTTAAAGGGTTCAGCCGGAACCGGGAGGGTCAAATCTAGCTCCCCCCACGAGTTAAGGCATGGTACGGTCCGGGGAAGATCGGCGCATGCGCGATGACCACGTGGTGGGTCTTGTCCGGACTAGCCCGGTGGTGAGATCAGCGTGTCACGTGGGTGTTGTGCTGTGTTGTGCAGTGCTTGCTGCGGGGGGTTGGAGCCTCCTGGCCACGCGGGGGCGCGGTGGGGCGGGCTGGGCTGGGCTGGGCTGGGGGAGCAACCTCCAGCCCTGGGACTGGCGGGAGGTGGAGGGGAAGATAGTGGGGCTCAGCCTTTTTACATTCCTGGAAGATGCCTGCTCTTTGTTTTGGGTAAGTGCAATATCTTTTATTAGACTAACTAAAATAGTTGGAAAAATTCATCTTTGCAAGCTTTCCAGCACAAATGCCCTTCGTCAGGCTGAGGAAGCACCTGTAGTTAGTCTGTGCCCTTCTTAGATAGAAGAGACTAAAAGCCAGAGGCCAGTATGCATGTGGGAAAGCCAGTCACAGAGACTGTAAATTGAGGCAGGGAATGGGTGAGAGACAGGAGAGGGGAATGTAGACCTGGTGGTAAGAATATAGCTGGCAAATAGTAGAGAGGTTACCTGAGGTGTCAGATGTCAGGCAGGTTATAGTGTGTCATCAATCCAATGTCTATACTTAGTCCATGATTTTTTGTATCTGGTAGCTTGAAGAAGTGAAGTTCACAGGCTCCTCTGTGAAAGGGGTTTTGTAAATTCCCTTTGAGGATTAGAACTGAGATTGGAGAGTGGTTTGCTTCTGAAAAATGTGCCCCCACCAGTAATTGGGTCTTCTTGTCTTTGGTCGGTTTTCAATGTGTGTTCATTCTGGTGTGCAGTTGTTGCACACTAATTACTGGTGGGGGCACATTTTTCAGAAGCCTCTCTTTCCAGTCTCTCAATTCTAATCCTCAAAGGGAATTTACAAAACACCTTTCACAGATGAGCCTGCAAACTTTATCAACCTACTGTATACAAAAAATCATGGACTAAACACAGACATTGGATTTATGACACATCATAACCTGCCTAACATCTGACAGCCCAGGTAACCTCTCTACTATTTACCAGCTATGTTCTTATCACCAGGTCTACATTCCTCTTACCCCACTCCACCCACAATACCTATCTTGCCCATTGACTGCCCCAGTTTGCATTTTCACTGACTTTCTCACATGCATATTCTCCTCTGGCTTCTTTTCCATTCCATCCAGGAAGAGCACAGGCCAATTGCAGATGCTTCCTCAGCCTGATGAAGGGTGTTTATACCTGAAAGCAAAGAAGATATTTTCCAGCTATTTTAGTTGGTCTAATAAAAGATATCTGATTTACCCAAAGAACCTTGTTTGCCTATGACCTTAGACCAATATGGCTACAACCTATATCCCTGAAGCTCTTTGCTTTCATTCCTTTTTTTGATTTGGCTATAGAAAAATTCTAGAGCAGGTCTCCTGTTGCAAGGAGCTCAAAGCCCGCAGCAGAGTGGAGGGGATCTTAACCCTGAAGATCCTTATTGGAGCAGTTTAATCTTGTGACTCACGTGTGCGCACCTCACAGCGGTACCGCGATGTGGCACTCCAGGGCACCCTTGAAGGGATCTCAGGGCACCCCGGGGTGATGCGGCACCCAGTTGAGAATCACTGGGGTCAGATTTGAGGGCAGTCAGGAAGCAGGCTGCAAGATAGTCCCAGCCAAGAGTGGGTACAAGCAGAGTTGTAGCTGATCAGTGCTGTGCTGTGCTCTGGGAAGTATTGCACCATGCACCTTCCTGGTTCTGCCTGTAGCAGAGGCAGAAAAGTGGTCTCAGCACAGAAGTGGCTGGAGGTTTGTTGCTGCTGGGAGAGATGTCACCACCTTTTTTGGCTGCCAACATGCATGTCAAGTAGCCAAAAACCCACTGATTTTCAGTGGCAAAAAGGAAGTGCCCTTAGCAGCAGCCAACCTCCAGCCTCTGCTTCTCTGCCTTTCTTGCTGCTAGAGCCAGAGTTGATGCAGGAAAGGTGCAGACTGCAAGGGAGACCAGAGGGTGAAACCCCAACCCCAGCTCCGTTCACTCCTGGGGTTCTTGCCCAGTTCACCCAGCCTTCATTACACTACTAGGCACAAGGCATGGCAGGCTCAGAGGGGCAGATTGAGGAGAGTTATTAGAGGGTCAGATTCATAGGCCTGGATAGGGACAGAGTGCCAGAATGATAAGGCAGTGGGTATTGAGGTTTAGGGACAAAGTGGAACTATGGGCACTAAAGTTGTTCAGGGCCGTGTGATGCCAGGGTAGAATGATTATTCAGGGCTTTAAGTGAGGCCCTGTCCTTACTGCTTTGTGTCCTGTGACCCTCACACAATAAGGAAGCACTAAACAGCACTGAGCAGCTTGTCCAAAGTGGCATTTCCAGCAGGAGTTGTGTGAAGGATCAGGTATAGTGACATAGGCAAAGGGCTCTGAGCAAAGAAGTGGGACTGTCCATTAAAGATCAACCTAATCCTGCATACATTTAGCTTGTATTTCCTTGGATATGGGTGATCACCTGGAAACCAAACAAACAATGTTAAACCTAAGAATGGAACATAAGAGTTCTGAGACCCTTCATACATCTAAACCAGGGGTTGTCAACCGGGGGTACCTGGGAAGTCCCTAGGGGGTATGCGTGGACAGGCAGGTGGGGACAGACAGCCGCCACCCCCCACCCCGTGCCATTGACTCCCAGGAACGGCCAGGGGGGCAAGGGCAACAGCACCCCTCTGTGGGCTGCACAGGTGCCAACGGGGGTGGGGAGCTCACACTGCAGCTGCCACCCACCACCCCGTGCTGCTGTCGCTCTGCATCTGGCCATGTGCCACCCCCAACCTCCACATCTGGCCATGTGCCACCCTTGCCCCCCCTGCATCCAGCCACGTGCCAACACCCCACCACCACCACCACTCTGTGTCGTGCTGCTGGGGGTACACTTATTAAAAAAGGTTGAAAACCCCTGATCTAAACTACTCACAGCCTTTCAGAAACAGCTACTGTAGAAATCTGAGAAGAATGCATTGCATTCAAAACCTTGTCTAAGTCTATCCCAACCATGCAGTTGGTCCAATAAAAGATACCACCCACAAACATCCTTGCCTCTTACATACTGTAGGAAAGATTTTTTTCCCCTGACGTTTAACTCCAGTTTTCCATGTTGTTACTTGAAAATAGGATCTTTGTTTCTCCAACATCCATCCACTATAGCTCATTACTCACCGGGGCTCTCAGAGTCTGATGTCACCGTAAAAGGGTATGGTGCAGTCTAATGATTAGAGCAGGGGACTGGAATACAGGACTCTAGGGTGTTGCTTCCATCTCTGTGTTTTGAGCTAGTCCCATCTTTTTGCTTGTGGTCTATACAGTGATGATGATGAAAAAATGGGGATCCTATATTTCATGTCAATCCTGCTGATGGTAACAGTGCTTTAATAAGGACTGGTAGTGTTAGAGTGATGTTGTAGCCATGATGGTCCAGGAATTATGTGAGGCAAAGATTTCTTTCTGCGGTATCTTTTCTGGAACCAACTACGTAGTTGGGATAAAGTTAGACCAGCTTTTGAATGCCAGATATTCTTCTTCAGGTGTTAGGTTTAGGGCCACGTGTGGCTGTGGGTACTAAGGTTGTGCAGGGCCTGACATCAGGGCAGGGTGATTGTTCAGGGATTGTGAGACCTTCTGCTCGCTTTGTGTCCAATGACCCACACCCAGTAAGGAACTATTAAACAGCACTGAGCAGTTTGTCCAAAGTAGCATTTCTAGCAGCAGTTGCGTGAAGGATCAGGTATGATGACACAAACACAGGATGCTGAGCCAGGAACTGTAGGATGAAGAATGTTTTTCACTTGAAAACTTGTCTAGCTGTATCCCAACTATGCAGTTGGTCCAATAAAAGATATCACCCCAAGAAATCCTTGCTTCTCAATAAGGATTGGCATCTGTGAAGAGCTTTGCATCTTCACAGCACTGTCACAGCCTTACTTAATATTCACAAGTCCTTTGTAAGATTGATCAGTACCAATGCAACCATTTTACCATGGGAGAAACTAAGAGTGAAATTGTGCATGCCCCATCCCTCCTTATAACTGTCAACCTAGAGGGTCTCCACAAAGAAAGTCATAATGGAAGAGTAGAATCAGGGAGGTCAGATTCAGGCCCAGAGATGATAACTGTCTTTCCTGTATTAAGAAAGATATAATGCAGAAAGGTAAGAATTTGAGATACCCCTCCAGGATCAGAAAGTGAAGAATTCCTGAGGGGAAAAAAGGGAGAAACTTGTACAAATAAAATGCACAGGTAGGAATCATGCTAACAATTAAAAGGGATTCTCCAGTTGTGGCATTTGCAACAAGCGATATAATAGAGCTTCCCCTTGGATACAAACTTCATTGTGTTGCTGTGGTTTGTTTACTAAACTAGATGTTATAAAGCACCAAAGTCTGACATTTTTGCAATGGTTTGTGTTTTGTATTTTTCCCATCCCTTAAAGGACTGAAGTTTGGAAGAAATTGCCAGGGGAAAAAAAAATGATCTGTGGCTGCTTGTTAAATATTCAGACAAGTTTCTAACAGTTCATTTTGTTTCTGGCTGATGTAAAATGATCAACATATGGTATGAGAAGGAGACCTGAAAGGAACAGATTTTTGGTCCATTCTGAGAGAAGAACACGGATAAACACAGATTTTTTCTGTTTAAAAACCAACTCCTCATTCTGATAAAACAAACACCAAAATCTGGAGTATCCTTAGACAGGAGAATGTGTTTGGTTGGGACCTTTGGCCCAGCCCTTCCAGGACTCTGTCCCACTGATGCTACAGAGAAACACAAATAGAAATTTACATCCATGACACTCAGAGCTAGTTACATGGGGCTTGTTCAGAGGAAGATAAATATTTTTTCATAACCCCTGTAGAATAGGGCTGTCCAACTGTTGGTCCCTGGGCCACCTAAGGCAGCTGAGAGGTTAATATGCAGTCCACACAGCTGCTCTTGCCCCCACTGTTTCCATGGCTCCCCATCCCACCTCCCTTCAGCTTCTGGTTCTTGCCTTTGCTCCTGAGGATGGGGCCAGATGGCAGGAGGGTGCCGCACACGCGGCAGGGGGTAATCTGAGCTGCTCATGCTGCAAGAGATGAGTCTGCACTGCTCGTGCTCCACGTGCAGTGGGAAGAAAGTAAGCTGCCTGGGCAGCGCATGTGGTGGGGGAGGACCAGGTTGTGCACACAGCTACAGGAATGCTGGGGGTCTGTGGCCCATGTGGCATGCAGAACCGCCACCATCCAGAACCTGGACAGCTCTACTGTAGGAGAGCCCTGCTGCACCCTGTGCACCCTCCCTCATGGGGAGGTCTGTCTGTTTTATTATTTTCCCTTTGTAGCACCCGATGAAGTGAGCTGCTGCGCTTACAGAAACTTATGCAACTCTGAGTTAGTCTGTAAGGTGCAAATCTACCTGCCTTCTGCCTTATTTCCCCCATGAAATAAAGGGCTGGAATGCAGCTCAGATTTGGCATGGCAGCATTTACACACACTGGAGAGGGCAGTCACATTCTCTTTGCCTTGACTCCATAAGAAAATAAAATGGACTCTCTGAACTCCGTGCTTTTCAATGTCTCCATTAGCCCCTTGCACCAGGTTTTATTGATCCAATGGATTTTTGGTAGCAGAAGGTTCCATGCACCATGCAGAAGTGGCTGCATTTATTTGCAAGAGCTTGGGTTCAAAAGATGTTGACTCAATATTTGATCTTGTATTGTTTCAGGGATAAAGGTTGTGGCATCTAGTAATATTGTTAGCATCTGGGCTAGGCTTGAGCCAAACCTGAGCTGCCCCATGTCAGCAGTCCATCAGGGGCACTACTGTTGTACCACACACACAGCGTTGCAGTGTTTACTACTTGGATACAGGGGTGGGGAGCCTGCCTTGTGAGGAGAGATGCTCTGGCAGCATAAAGGAAGAGGGATTGTAATTGCATTACACTCCCACGCAGCTGCCTGTGGTTTGTGCATTCATTTCCCTTCCTCCAGTTTGCTGCTGCTCTGTCTCTTTCC